GTAAAAATCGATGTGTTACATTTTTTCGAGTCTCTAAAATCAGCTCTTATTTTGATATTATTTGAAAAATATACAAATCGGTTATTGTTTTGTAAAATTCGCCATGACAATAGTGTGCAGTTAATTTATTTTTGAAATCAGCCCTAAATTAGAAGGTTAAAGGCACAATCAGATCCATGGGGGTGACAAAATTACAAGCAACATGTACAACAGACCTGCCAATCTATTCAAAAACAATACCTCCAAAACGATTCACGATGTATTATAAATTGGTGAAGTTATAATGGTTGAAAAATGGTTGAAAAATGTTTAAATTCTTCCAAATGATAAGAATGGTAACCATTCTTATAGAAAAACAATAGATTATTGAAAAAATCTTTAGTTTTCCTGAAATAAAGTGTTATTAAAGTGTGTTTTTGGAAAATAGACATAAAAAGGAATATAATGACATATGCCAGAAATATTCTAAAATTGAAACTATAATTTCAATTTTAATTTTTTTGTTACGCTGCTCGCTAGATCTGATTCTCTCTTTAAATAAAGGTAAACTTATTGCTTGTCTCCCTCGCCTTCAAAACCTTACACAATTTTGAAAATTTTAAAAGCGTTCATATAAGACAATTTGAACTGAAGCCGTTATGTAATTGTGACGTCATAAATACACATGTTCTATTGAATAAAATGTGAAATTTTAGTAAAATTCTGCTCGGTATTTCAAAAGTTATCCCGATTTCAACGAACTGTGTAAGCGTAAAATGTTACGTCTTACATGATGTCGGGGTATATTTAACTTTAAAAATGTGATAGATCCCATCAAACCTTTAAAAGAAAAATAATTTCAGTGAAATGCGAATAAAAATTACTTCAAAATGATATATAAAGAACATAGTTAGCTTTTTAAATAAGATATTAACGCTTCAAGCTGAGATTAGCCGAAATTGTCCCCAGGCCCGTGCACGTCATAGAAGTTAATTATGGTTTTTAAGCATCGCTCTAAATTCTTATAATTTCAGTACATGTATATATGTGTTTGCAAAATTGAGGTTAACTGGATTATCCATACCAACCGCTGTGATTTGCTTACTTTCTAGACAAGACATGAAATGCGACATATTTTGAAATTTAAAATTTCAATAATTTAAGATCACATTCTTTTGCTCCCCTTAATTTTCACATTTTGACTCAAACCTCATTAAAAGTTTCTCTTTAAAACCTATCAAAACATTCGACTTCCATTTGGTCTAACTTGTTCAAAACCATGGAGATCAAAGAAACGGAAAGGGGAACTGGGTGATAATTATGGCTTCGCTTTTGTGCTGTATCACCAGAATATATCTTAACAGAAAGAACAATACTTGAACTCACCAAATCCAAGTTATCAGCGTCGTCTACATCCAGGGAACCTAACTGTCGTTGTTGCGGTAATGGATCAGGTAAACCTGAAAAAGCCAAATAATGTTAATGACAAATGAAATCCAGAATGCCATTTAACTTGGAACGCCATATCGATCTTATGAACTTTAATTCAAGTTCAATTTCAAGTTCAAACACAGAGCAAAACAATGAGGCATTGCTTTTTATATATTATACTTTATTTGTTTATAACTCACATTTTCGACCGGTTTCCTCCCAAAGATTGCAGAACAATGTTCTTGACACTCTAGTTGCCGCCTCTAGAAACCTTTTACTAAAAGCGTTCTTTCCAGTTTGCAAGGACCCAAGATACACAGTTTTGTCTGTTGCTTCCCCGAGGACATGGTCCCAAATAAGCATCTAAAATGGAAATATATGTTGGAAACAAGTGTGCACCTTTACATTTGTGCATAAGATGAGATTAATTGTCCTAATGTTACTAATGTTTTCTATTAAAATTAATAATGCTATAATATGATCTGACGAAATGCCATAACTCATCATACCTGTTGTAAATGGTTACAGAAGTTACAGATGTTTGACTAAAAGCCACATTCTTTCAGTATGAATTCGGATGATTGATACACTGCATGATCAACATGAACCCCCCCCCCATCCAGACGAAAGATATTGAAAGTAGTAAACTGCAAACTCTGATCCCCCTTCCTAGAATATAGATATCTAAGCTTAGGGGCCAAACGAAAAAGACTAAAAACTGTGAGGAAACCAAGGAGACAAGCACTCATTACCTCTATCCTTTCTACTCCCTTTAACTTACTCAACTTATATTAGTGTCCTACATTTTGTGAAAACAGTGAAAACCTGTCCTAAGAGAATGAGGTAATATCAAAATCACAAACATTGATCTAAAGTCCATTCAAAATCCTTCCCATTGAACAACGGGGAGCAAGTCATCCCTCTCTCATATTTTCCTCATTTATAGGTTAATAAATTACCTAGAATACAAGAGGGATGGATGACTGATGCCCGGGTCACATTTGCTCAGATTCATCGGCCAGCGCCAACCTGATTGAGTATTCTGGTCAAAACTGTAGTGTATACAAGTTTGAACAAAATACTCAATCAGCAGGGCGCTGGCCGATGAATCGGAGCAAATATGACCCAGGCATTCCATTCATTGAAATTTGCTCAAAAGTCAACACGGCTTGCAAAAGAACTTAAATGGAAACAACTTACCTTTATCTTCTCGCCCTGCTTTTGTAATTTTGCTTGATAAACACCCTTAATCTCATAGAGTTCTGGCTCTACCTCTTTTTGAAGGTATATTTTATCATCGCTTTCAATCATATGCCAATTATTCAGAAACGAAGCCATGATGGAATAACAAGCATAGTCTGCATGTGCGTGTACGTATATCAGAGTGTAAAAACGTAATACTCCATGTTACTAAGAAATTCCCCTGCAATCATGCAGCCCTTAAAAATGTCACACACTAGCTTTGTTTTATCAATGAGACCTTGATTTTAAAATCTGTCATTTTAGCATAGAACTTCAAGGTTTCAGCAAATGACACATAACCGTAATTACTTTTTAATTGGTTAATACGTTATTGTAAACTGAAACAATAAAATGATAGGATATTTCAAAAGGGTATCTCAAAAGTAAAGAGGGAGTACAGTAGAACCTGTTAAATCTAAAACCTGGGTAATCCGAGTACCTTCAAATCCGAACGCTTTCCCCTCTGCCTTACCATTTACTTTCATGTCATAGAAACTTGAAAAGTGAAGATGCACCTGTCTTACTTGAAGACTTTTAAAAATAGTTCACAGATTTCTCAAATATTTTAAAAGCTTAGATTTATTTTTGTTTCAACATTTTTGGAAAAATATCTCATACTCTTAATCATATCGGGCCTTCAAAGTCCAGGATCTTGGAGATGCGAAAACCTGTCTAATCCGAACACTTTTAGCTAGTTCCAATGGCGTTCAGATTAGTCAGGTTTTACTGTATTTTAGATTGTAAAATACTATACAAGTATCATTGGATAAGCCATGTACCAGTCGTGAAATCCATAACATTCCTTAGCCTCGGGGTAAAGAGCCAATGAGTGACCCAGAAACGAAATACTTGTTTCAACAAACAACATGCGCAAATGAATCTTTGTTAACCTGCTAACTGACGTTATATGATCACTAATACATTTACAAAGGACAAATACAATGGAATAATTAGAGTTTGGACACTTTAGAAAGTCGAAAACGAATCAGAAGTCTACACACGGAACATGGATAGATGGACCATATATGTCTGTCTCATTCTATTAATATCCGACTACATTTACCCAATCAAAATACCTGGTGCTGACAACAATGCGGTAAGTAATGAATTGATATGCCAATTCTAACATGAAAATAAAGAAAGAAATTATAATAATCATCGATTCCGGCGTTAATGGTTTTATGGCTAGCACTGTGTTTTCTACCTGGTTTACATAATACATGCTCTTTTTTTCCTTTGTCAAGACATTTTAGGAATTGAGGTTTATATGAAACCAGTAAAATTTAACAAAATTCAATTTCGATTTTCAGGGTAAAAGCTTCCTTTTAAACACAACATCTGAGGATCCCCTGGGAATATCCCTCGATATAGCGAACGATGACAACAATGACGACCCTCTTGGAATATCTCTTGAAAACAATGATCAGCCACTTGGTACTTCACTTATCTGTCAAGATGATATGGATACAAGCGCCAATAGTCCAAAACTAGATGTATTTGATTTTTGCGACGACGATGGCAAATACGAAAATACGGTTAAAACACCTTCGAAAATCCGTCATAACGAAAACAAACAATTAACCAGTACTCCCATTGCGCCATTCAAAAATCAGATGAAAAGTGACTTATGGAACGATAGCTTTAGCGATTATGACGACGAGACATCTCCTATAGATAGCTTAAAAGATTTACTTCCGGAAGACTTAGGGAGTGTTACCCCGAAAGTCAACATCACTTCTTTCTCAACAGGTGAGTAATATTCTGATCTAACAAAGGCGCCCGGTCGATTGACTATTTTGTTCAGAAATGCATTTGATTTGAACAAATTATTCATTCTGCCTGACGCAGCCCGATGAATCGGAGCTAATGTGAGATAGGGACTAATTGTATTTGAAAAGTTTATCAGCGATTTAGTCAGTCATTTAAGTCTCTATCCAACAACATTTGTATTCGAAATGATTTATTTCCTGGGAAAGATGACGGAAGGATAACTTTTAAGGCCAGTGACCACTTCCTTCCACCTGACGTTCAAATAACGTTTTTCCGGCAAACACATTTTCCGACATATATATATATTTAAATGCTCCTTAGCAACGCTTGTACATATAAGAAAATACAAAAATACACATAAATTTTCAGGAGACTACTTTTTGATCATGCACTTGTCTTGTTTCAAGACGAGACATCCCTTATTCTATCTGCATCGATTTGAGTGATGTTAGACTTCAGATTGCATGTTTAGAAAATAATGTCACAGCGAAAGTATGCCATTTCAAATTTACTCATTTAACATTTTATACAATTGCACATTTTAATCTTGTCAATTTATAACATATTGTTCATTTTATAGCCCCAAAACGTGAAAGAACGGTTTCAAGGATATTGGAAAAAAGCTTAAGACACGGATCATTACTCCAGATTAAATATATGAAGAAATGCTGCATTTCCAAATGTCATTTAAATGTAAACATGGACATGGCTCGTAGATGTAGGGAGATTTTATGGACGAAGGATTTTGAATCTAGACACGAATGGTTGATACAGAAATTAAGAGACGCAAAACAGTATAATGGAAAATATTTTTTAATGATTGAAAATGGATTGGGAATATGTTCAAAGGCATTTTGCCAACTTTTTTATATAAGCAAAGGTTTCTATTATAAATCAGTGAAAGATTATGAAAACGGAGTCTTGTCAACGGGTTATCAAAGGCGCAGAAGTAAAACATCACTCTACGACGATGCTAAGTTTTGGTTAGAAGAATATGCGACTTATCATGCTGACCGAATGCCCGATTCAGAAGATGTTATGCTTCCCTACAAGACGAGGAAAGAGGGACTGTACCTTCGATACAAAAGCGAAAGAGTAGAAAAGTTTCGAAACTTTTTCAGCAAGACAAGTTTCATGCGTATGTGGGCTGACATGTTTCCCCATCTTAAGATTAAAAAGGTAAGCGTAAGATTTATGTTACAAATTAACAAAAAGAAATTCATTCAATTATAATTATGTGCAACATTAATTCCATTATTAAAAAGCCCACCTTGCAATTACATTGCGAACTTTTAGGTTGGTGTGGAAAATATGGATTTTTTTGCAAATTTGAAATGTATACCACTGAATATTCTACTTATTCTTACCTTAATGACCTTTTGTACAAAAATGAAAGGTGTAGACCTTAACTTTAACTGGGACCGAGTGCAAAACATCCAACCTTCGTTCAAGGTATGATTCTCTGAGAGGGGGAGGGATAACGGACCCAATTAACACTTTTGAATTGCCCTTTTGCCACTTAAATCAGTCCCACTATTAAATAGATTTTTAAGATCCACCACATTTCAAGATTATAACTGCAGGACCAAACTTTGATATATTTGATACTAGGTTCATGATCGTTATGCATTTATTATTCAACTTTTAATATCGATACGTAACTTTTCGCAGCTTTCCGTACCTTTAAGCCAAAATTATCCTTAGATTGCCTTAGATCTTTTTCAATTCGAAGTTACATCATATCATAATTTTTTTGCGATAATTGATAAATGTTACGTCATAAAAAGTAGAAAATATATTTACATTAAAATACCAGCCAATCCCACTCCCTTTGCAGCTTATTTGATTTAGACTATCAAATAATCATTACCTTATGGTACTCAACTGTGCTTATTCTATTATATAGTACTCTATTAAATGTTAATGACACACACGCGTGTATCTGTATACAAGGTAATTCAAGTTCACCCTTGAACTTTGGCTTGGCTCTGTGTCAAGTAGAACTAATTGTAGTGTACGTACATGTAGGGAGTAGGAACTAGCTTTGTTTACTTGTAAACAATTTTTAGACAAAATAAAGTTTTACCTTGCCCAAACAAGAATTAGGTCATGTTATCCTTATTATAAAGGGGTTTGTAATAATTAATTAATTCTTTACCACATTCTCTACTAAGTTGTAAAGTTATTTCAATCTGAATACTTATGATTTTGAAAGTTTTGCAAGTGAATAATCCATCTAAATGTAATATTTAAACTTACTGAAACTCCAAATTCACATGTTACATAATTTGGTATTGTAATACTAACCAGATATGCGCGGCTAAAATTATTTATGGTACATCAAAATATCATATTATTAGTGCAACACCCGGGGTGCAAATAAAACTGAGTAATTTATTCGCGACATACTTCTGTTAGCCTAAACAGGCATATTCACGAAGGGGAAGCTAGGCAATCCATTCTATCACAAGTGCTAGAAATTCTCTATAATTTGCTATAATGTTTTTTAATTTCAATAGCTTTTTTATCACACTGAAGGTCTAAAGATATAAAAGGTCGATTTTAAAATGGCAGCTTTCTTCTTGCGATTTTCAGCAACTAGTAATAAAAACTAGTCAAAATGCGTTACATTTAGCAATGTTATTCATATCATTTTCAAAATCATGGTTCACTTTCTCAAAACACAAATGAAAGGGTACTGAAATATGACCGCTATTTATTTTACATTTGATATTTGGCCTTTTTACCATGGTGAGATAGGCCTTCTCAGTATAATATAGCAGTATGGCAAAATCATTAGAAATGTAAAAAGTCACCCGTGATTTATATAATATAGCACAGAATAAGCTTTCAATAAGCTTAGTAATTAATCTTTAGCTTTACATGTGAACCTTAAGTTTACAACAGGGTGAGATCATTTAGCTGTGAACCATACTGTAAAATCAGTTTCTTTCTGGAGTTTGGTAACTTGTGTTACTATTGATTACAGCATCTCAAAGAGCATACAATTTTAGTGACGGATCCATAAATTTAAAAAATGCGCTGAAAAAATCTCGTTAATTTAGATATATAGAAAGATTTCCTAGGCTGGTTAAAGTTGTTTAGTAAAGTGGCTCATTGAAATCCTTTGTGAAGTTCGTTGTCAGGAATTTGTATGTTGATTAATATATATCAAGTAAAATCGTGTTTATATTTCAGACAAACTGTTTCACTAAATGTGATAAATGTGTGAGTCTAAACAGACGCCTTGAGAGAACTCTGAACCCAGAACGAAGAAGACTTATCAAAAAGGCACTCAACGAGCATAACAATAGGCAAATGTAAGTATTTACACTTTTAAGTCATTGGAATAAATGATTGCTGATCGTTAGGGTAAATAAGTCCCCGAGCGAAATTGCTGGTAACTTTGTTCCTTAGTTCAATTTGTTATTCGAAAATTGCATTTTACAGACAATTCATTTTATGATAGCTAGGTTAATTAGGTTTCGGCAAAAAACTCGAGCTATCATCGCACGTACACTTTTTAGACTATTTCTAATCACAACAGCTGCAAGATGCAATTCGTCAATAAACCTCTGAAGAAAATTCTTCTCGTCAAAGGTGATAACAGTAAGCCTGGTCCTTTATCTATATCGAGTAACAAGTACGCTTTCCTAGGACATTTCGTTATGTCTTTGATTTTGGTAGGACTTCACGAAATTAACACAAATATTGAAATGTCAACTGGAGGTCAATTCCCATTTGAATAACATATTATAGTAGTGCATGCGCAAAAGTTGCGTTGTCTTGAATTGGTTTCGATTTGGTCAATTTTAATACCCATTCATTCGAATTCAGAGTTGGTCAGGTAACCGATTGCATCTCTCCAAGCACAGAGTAATTTCTATATCCTTTGATTCAGTAGATAATGATGACCAATTAATTAATTTATTTATTGTCACTTGTATTATATTAATATTAACTGATTTCGCTTGCGTAATATAGGGACATTTTACTCATCCTTAGAAGCGTGTGCCATTTATATATTTATTTTATATTTTTACTTTTCGTCAATTTTGTAGATAGGCATACCGAGCATTATAGTATTTTATTCATCATCGGCGTATTTCGTTCACATATTTTAGAAGCAATGTTTGCCTTAAATGTGGTTATATTATTAGATGAGTATATTGCTAATCGGGGTCCTTACTCATCCTCCGCATAGAACCTACGCTTGACAAGTAATCATGGAAAAAAATGTTTGACATTTTCCACAATTAAATTGGGGGGGGGGGGGGCTTGTGCGATCGCCAAAAAATCCATTTTCAGTCAGGGGATGCGATTGTGGCATAAAAAGCCAACAATTAAGATTTATCTTGAATTTCACGAAAATTTATGCAACTTCCTTTATAATAAATTGAGCTAGAAGCGTCAAATAAAAATCATTTCAAAGCTCTTTTCTTCTCATGGTAATGGGGCGATCACCAATTGCAACCCCCCCCCCCCCCCCCACGCCTATGCTCTAATTGAAATGTAAAAACTCTGCATTTTAACTACAAGTATTAAAAGTTGCTTTCACATTCAAGTAGCTGATATAGATATTCTATCTACTAGTATACTCATATGAACAGAGATATAGAATTTCAAACGGAAACATTTAGATAATCTATTCTGTCATTGAAACAATATTTATGGCCAGCTAAATTTCTTAGGTTTTTCATCCGTTTACTCCTGGACTATATATCTTTATTTGAATTTGAAGAACAAACATGTTTCGTGCATCTTGATCCATCAATGTATTGTATATGATTAAAGGATTGAATGCACTGGTTTAACCGCATGCGTTTCGCATTACACATAACAATCTCTGATTATCAAATTTACATCACCATGGTAAACCATGAAATCTCATTTCTCCTCAGCCCTGAGAGGTGAAACAGAAAGATGCTATTATGTTATCAGAATGAATTTACATTGGAGTAAAGGACTTCATACGTACCTAATACATTCAAAAAATCATATGTATAATGTCTGATTACCTGACTTAGCCTTGGTGACATTTGCTCCGATTCATCGGCCCGGGCGCGGCCGAATGAGTATATTGGTCAAAACTATACAATTTTGGACAGAATACTCAATCGGCCGTGCGACGGGCGATGAATCTGGGCACATGTTACCCAGGCATTACTGTACATTGTGTACATAGGACTATATGGTTTCATGTATCTAATTATTCGAAAACCACGCACCCACTCTCAACAACCAGCCCGTTGTTTTAATAACAAACTAACACTGAGTTTCGTTGATTGCAATTAAATATCATATTTTATTATTTTACTAAACAACTTATCGATCTTTGTTATCTCATTGTAACGAGCACAGACACATTTACAAAGATCAAACCCAGGTATTGAAAACGCATATTCTTAAGTTTCTTAATACATGGACACGATCTCCGCTCCACGCTTTAATTTACGTTTTTAAAACGATTTAATACAATTTGATACGATTAGATATAATTAATATGATATTGAATATGATTTTCGAATATATAAAATGGGGATTTATCAATTTATATTTTATTTTACAGGATGGAGAGGCAATATTATTATAATAAACGGGAACAATCGAGGAATGAACCGACACAGTACCTCTCTATTATTTTTGACGGCATGGATCAAGGTAAATTAATTTAGAGTTTTTATTATTTACATGTAACAGTTCCATACGTATTTTGATGTACACGATTTTTTCTTAAAAATCACAACTTAACATATAAATCATATCCGATGGAAGTAACGCGTAACGGAATTCTAATCGGAAAGCTATAAAGATTGTTAAAAATTAAAAATAGTATATATCGTGCCTAACTTTGAGTAACCTTTGCTCCGATTCGGCCGGAACATTGCCAATTGAATATTTTGTTCAAAATTGAAGGTCACATCTCAATTTGAGGTCATGTGTAGGCTCATGAGAACTTGTTCATGCTTTACAAAAATGTTTGTTCAATCTAAGGCAAGTTGAAATCAGTTCTGACCAAAAAACGACAATCGGCCGGGCGCCGGCCAATGAATGGGAGCAAATGTGACATAGGCATTAGCTGGGCATTATACTCTATACTGTTTTGCTTTATCGACGCTTATTACCAAACATAAAGGTATATTGTTATCGTCCGATACACATAAATGAAAATGAGTCATAATAAAAAATGACAGATTCCAATTGAGATATCTCTCTGAACTTCGCATTCGCATGATTTATTTATATTTCTTCAGGCAAAACGTCACTCCCACATCTTATAGGCTCTAAAGCTAAATCCGTTGGACAGGGAGACCTGCTAAAGACGCATATCACTGGTGTGATATCTCATGGCCATAGGTTGTTTAGGACATTTATTGACACCTGTGAATACCCGCATGATTCCAACCTATCAATCAACGTTATTCTCCTCGTGTTGCAAACAATCGCTGCAAAAATGGTATGTGATCATATATACTATAGTATAATTGTCTACAGGCTGAAGATTTTCATAACCAATTCATAAAAAAACATGTTTTCTTTAATCTAGTCTTGCTTGAAGACCGTAGCCTTTTTTCTTTTTTATCAACCCAATGTCTAGTGGCAGTGGGGCATCACAGGGGTTAGAACCTAGACTATAAATGTAAATTACATGACAGTTTTAAATAGTAGTGTTTGTACAAATACTTGTACATTAATTGTTGATTTTTAGGGTAACAAATTGCCCCCCACCCTTTATCTACAAGCCGATAACTGTTGGAGGGAGAACAAAAATCGATTCATGCTTGGATTCTGTGAACTCCTTATTAGGAATGGCGTTTTTAAAGAGGTAATTAACTCAAAATCGAACCAATGGATACCATCGATGACTAGAATATGTGTATATTTCCCCCGACGATAAGCAGTTAAACTATGCATTTGAGAAATCGTACAAAAATGATGTCACAATCCAGAGTATGCTTGTAGTTATTCTTCAGAAATGTATGTTCTGTATCTGCATTTATTGAGTTACCGCACATAGAGACTCGTTGAAAAAAGAATTGCAATCTCCGACTCCTTTAAGATGCAATTCTTTTTCATTATCATTGTTTGAAAAATACACAATCGTCATGCTAATATTAATATTTCTACTCCTTAAAATATCTCAACTCAAATACGTTTGGAACAACTAACATTTGCCCATGCATTTCCCCGTCCATTACATAAGTTACGTTTTTAACAGTGAACGCATGGTTTATTTGTAGATTGAACTATCATTTTTGATAGTGGGACACACGCATGAGGACATCGATTCCTATTTCCACAAGATTGCTGATAGTCTCAGACAACAAGAGGCAGAGACAATGGATGATCTTCTTTATCTGCTGAAAAACGGACAAAGAATAAATGTTGTCTACAATTTCCGTAAGTGGATAGAACCACATCTTAATGAGATAAAGCACCACACAAAACCTTTGCATTTCAAATTTATTAAGACCTCAAACGGCGTGAAGTTACTGTATAAGGGGCTCCATACGCAACCGTGGGTTGAGGCTCCTTCCATTTTAAAAACGCTTCCGAAAGGGGAGCCAGTTTTGCAGACACCGAATTTTGAAAAATTGAATATCGATGGGATAGAACGAAACCAACGATTCTTACGACCATTGTACAGTGACCAGAGGGACGCCAGTCAATATATCTGGTGGCAAAAGTATATTAAGCGTATACGAGCTTTTCTGTCATCCGATGCACTCATCAATCAGTATCTGCTAAAATTCAAAACACAGTGGATGTTTGCCGGATTGCCCAAATTGTCACATGAGGAGCAACCCACAATAGAGTCAGCCATTCCAAGCGAAGTCGTCAGAATGTTAGAAATAGAACAAGAACAACCAACGGTGAGTGGTGTGATTAGAAAGGAGCACTTGTGTGCTGGGTAAATGTATACATACAAGTACATATGTATATCCTGTATTCCGTAGTACTAAAGGTAAATAACGCACAAGATAAATCGACCCTAGATCAATTGGGCAGATATATTGTATTCCTCTCATCAAGATATACCCTGTATCCCAAGCCTCTCATTTCTTCATCTGTATACCATTGTATTGTAAATATAATTATACTAATGATTATTCTGCTTGCCGACAGATTAGTAATGTCTGGCAATTGCGAAATAACTAGCATGCCTGTATAAGAATACTCTAATTTAAACATAAAGGATTAGATATCTTGGTTATATGGATATATAAGCACAAATGCCAAAGGGAAGGGTGAAAGAAAATGGAAATGCATAGTTTAAACTATTTCTGCAATAAAACAAAACTATTTTATCTTATAATTATATCGTTACATTAACAGGTTACATGATGTAATGATTGTTGTAACTCATTCATAGTCATCTGATTTTGACCTCGAATTATCATTCTAGATTGTGGTGGGTAAAAAGACAGCTGCTAAAAGGAAGGGAGGCACACAAGGGACAGGTATATTAAATCAATACTTCATGTATTAAAAAGATTGTCAGTCATAACATTCTTTTAGACACGTGATTGTAGCCTCGTATCACACTGCAACTTTTTAGGAAAGATTAATTCATAGTTATTTTACATTCGCTATGTTAAAATAAAATATTTCGAAAGATTTATTCCCCTTTGATAGTCAAATCATGACAGGTTGGCGATGATACATGTATGAGTTTTAATGGGGTGCATATATATGAAACACCATGCATATTCGATTTATTAATGAAGAAATGCTTATTCGAACATAGGCACTTATTGTTTCAAATGGGTAATTGTGACACGTGATTGTAGCCTAATATCACGTAGGGTATGTCCTTATGGGCTTATAGTTATTTTCCTAAACATTGTGTTAATCAAATTTCCACGTGAAAGGTTTGTTTTGTATTGTGTATTATTTAACTATTTAATAATTTATCAGGCTTATATCCATGCTTCCAGACAAATCTGCTAAAAGAAAAAAACAATCTCGTGGGAGAGTGGGACAAAGCAAAACAAGTAACAGTATAGATAAAGGTAAAAATGTTCCCTTTCAATTTGAATTTTACCACGTGATGAGTACAAAAAATTAGTTCAAATATAACATGAGTCGATAAACGAATGCATAGAACAAACTTCGTCTAGGATTCAGTCTATTATGAAAAATATATTTAAACTATGTGTTAGTTTTCAAAATCAACTTTAAATTAATTTCAAATCAATCATTTTTGCATATAATTTAGGTGAAGTTCAGAAAACCTTTTCTAAAAGGACGCCCTGCTCTGAGGAAAATGTGCAAAGGAAAAGAAAAACGACGAAGTTGAGGCAGAAAATCGGTATGCTTTATAATTCTTGATAATACAGTGCGTGTCAAAAAAAACGCAACAGATTGTTATCTCGGAAAAGCACAAAACCAGTGATAACAGCATTGATTTCATTCAATGCACCATAAAGCCATGTGTCTCCTCTTTACATTGATATATCATTCATTGATATTTGGTCATGGTTGGGCGAGTAATCATTCCATTTGCCAAGTAGGCCAAAATTAGCTCTTGACCAAGTTATAAACATCGCAAAAGTCAGTGTACGGAGCCCGATGCAAAATTGGAAGAAAACATGAAACCAATGCTGACTGCATCCTTTTCATTCAATGTACCAAAAAGCCAAATTACTCCTCTTTGCAATGGAATATCATTCATCCACAGAGAGTCATGGCTGGCCGAATAACCATTAATTTTGTAAAGTGGGTCAAATTTCAGCTCGGACCCAAGTTTTAAACATTGCAAAAGTCAGTACAAGGGGCATAGGGCCCAATGGAAGAAGGTGTGACAGGTGTGGCATAGACAGTAAAGTATTCATACTCATACTCTTGCAAGAATACATCCTATACAAAATTGCCACCACTTCTTTGTACATAAAGAAGCCCTAATCTCTCCATGTCATGCATGGAGTCATCCGTGGGTTAAAGCAGAGAAAAGCAGCCCATGGGCAATTCTTTCTCGAGGTTTTGCAATATCTGGTGGAGGAATTGTGAGCACAGATGCTCCTGAGATAGCTCCAAAAGAAAAAGTCACAACAATTGAAGTCAGAGGAACTTCCATTGGCAATTAGCCCTTGCACTGATTTTTGCAATATCTAAAACTTGGCCCAGAGTCGATTTTGACCCACTGTGCAAATGGAAGGATTTCTCACCCAACCATTACCACATGTGAATGAATGACATATCATTGCAAAGAGGAGAGACGTGGCTTTATGGTACATCAAATGAAATTCATGTAGTCATCAGTAGTCTTGGAATTTTACGAGATAATTACTTGTTGCATTTTTTTGATACGCCCTGTATAATGTAGTAATGAAAACTACTAATCAAAAGCTTTAAAGCTAACATTACTTTCATTATATTACTACCATATTATCAATTCCTATTTGTTACAGACATATTATTTAGAGATATAATGGTTAGAATCATTGAATTCACTCCATATGTTTTTTAAGAAGTCCATTTTCAGAGTGATAGCCATTCAATTACAATATTTAAGTGGAAACAAACTTTAAGAAGTTGCAATGGGAACCCATCACACCCATGTACTTATTTTCAAGGCATTAGTTGAAGCTAATCATTATAATAATTCTTTGTTTATCTTTTTTCAGTGAATCGCTGCAGATCTGAAAATTTCCATTTTCAACCCTGGGGACAGTTTATACCATATGATCTAACAAAGGACATTTGGATACTTTTTATTATCAACCTCGAGGTTTACATTGATCTAATTTTCGACTTCATCTTCTTATACCAATACATGAATCTGATGTATCTACTTTATCTTGCAATATTGAAAGCACACATTCGAGAGCACATCGATCAGTCTATTTCTCTGAAATCAGCGCAAAAACATTGCAACATTCCATATCATCGTGATATGATGCTCACATCTGGTCGTAATATAACGGTCTTGGAAGTGACGGTAGGCTGAGATTTGGCGCAGTATGATTCTATAAATGACCAATGTTGTGTAAGATAACTGCACATACGACATAGGATATTAGTATAAGTTGTAGTTATTACTGATTAAGAACATTCATGGTTACTGAAAGTAGTTCAACTAGAAAACTTATTTATGGATCGCAATCTTGTCTCATGTGGACATTTCTATAAAGACAGTCATTTTGTATTCTGATAGAGGCAGCCTAAAATTAAAGTATTATGGTTGTGATTCGTGGCCACATACAAATTCATACAGACCATTTTGTCTAATGTGAACATGTTTATATTGAAGAAGTGATGTAAGGTCTTTTTAGAATAGCAGTTCTCATCATGGCAGGGTTCAGTCCACATGTCTGTGACAGTTATTCACAAAGATTTTTAGACATGCTAAGTGCAGTGGCTAATAGGGAGATTAGGGACCATGGCACCACCTTTATCACTAAAATGGGCAACGGACACAATTAACAGATCACTAGACCGGCTAAAGAAATGCTTATAAAGTACCTCGTACCTGCTTACTTTGATACCTTGTTATCTTTTTTGTTTTCATCCCGGCTGCCTTGTCATGAGGTCAGCCATCTCCGTAGTATACATATTTCTAAATACATTGTTAGTTTGCCTCGTATATTTCTATATATATTGTTAACTTGCCTCGTATAGAAAATTATATACGGACAATTGTAGGGTATGCAATAGAAATGTCTATACAGGCAGTCATTCCCCTAGTATAGATATTTCTATAAACATTGTTAACTTGCCTCGTATAGAAATTTCTTTGCTTCAGTTATCGGATATGCTATAGAATTTTTTATACGGGCAGCCATTTTCCTAGTATGGATATTTTTAATACACATTGTTAGCTTGCCTCGTATAGAAATTTCTATACGGACAGTTATAGGGTATGCTATAGAAATTTCTATACACATGATATATTCAATAATTTCCAAGTATGCATCTTTCTATATACATTGTTAGTTTGCCTCGTATAGAAATTTCTATACGGACAGTTATAAGGTATCCTATAGAAATTTCTATACACATGATACGTTCAACCATTTCCAACTATGCATCTTTCTATATACATTGTTAGTTTGCCTCGTATAGAAATTTCTATACGAATAGTAATCGAGAATACCAGCCATGCAGCCAGCCATGCAGCCATTTCCCCAGTATGGATATTTATATATACATTGTTAACTTGCCTCGTATAGAAATTTCTATACGGACAGTTATAGGGTATGCTATAGAAATTTCTATACACATGAAGAAATGTAACCATTTCCAAGTATGCATCTTTTCTATTGTTAGTTTGCCTCGTATAGAAATTTCTATACGAATAGTAATCGAGAATACCAGCCATGCAGCCAGCCATGCAGCCATTTCCCCAGTATGGATATTTTTATATACATTGTTAACTTGCCTCGTATAGAAATTTCTATACGGACAGTTATAGGGTATGCTATAGAAATTTCTATACACATGAAGAAATGTAACCATTTCCAAGTATGCATCTTTTCTATTGTTAGTTTGCCTCGTATAGAAATTTCTATACGTATAGTCATCGAGTTTGCTATAGAAATTTCTATACAGGCAGCATTTCTTAACGGCAACCATTTCTCTAATATAGAAATTTCTATATGAATGAGTAGCTTGTTTCGTATAGAAATTTCTATACGGATAATTATTCGGTCTTCTTTATACATGTCTACACTTGAAGGACTATCTCTTGTATAGAGAGTTCTATAACCAACAGATTCACCTTTTTGATACATTTTTAGCATATATTGGAAGCAATAACTTAAAGTATTAACACTGATTTACAAATATAAAATAAATGTTGCTATTTGATTTACAAATTGTCTATCTGAAATAAAGTATCTCATTTCAAAAATTACATTTTACAATGGTGTTTTTCTATTTTTTGACTCAAATAAAAGGAACAAATGGTTTTTTCCTTTATCAAATAGTCAGGACTTGTGTATATCCCGAGGGACCGAGGGATATACACATATTTCCCGAGGGATAAACCCTGTATCCAAAACCGACCGTACATAACAGATGTATTTCATACCTACTGATGTTCTAGGTACGTCATATACCTTCCAAAATTCAAAAATATACTTAAGATACGCATTTTCTTGGTGTTATAAAGTGGTTTTTTAAGTTTCTGAGATTTTCAAACTCATATAACTCATATTTTGAAAAATAAATTTGAAAAAAATGGGAAAAAAATTTTGAAAAAGAATGGGAAAATATTTTTTGGAAAAAATAGAAAAAAAAATTTTGAAAAAAAAAAGTTGAAAAAAATTTGAAAAATCTTTTTTTTTTAAATTGTGAAAAAAAATTCAGGAGCGGGACCGGGATGGATACAGCGTGTATCCATCCCGCCCCGGGCCTTGGCTAGATACAGTAAATATTCCCGCTCGTTATGTACCTAGAACCTCAATAGGTATGAAATACACAGATGTATCCAGCTAATTCTTAAATTGCCAAAAAGGATATGCCATGGAGAAAGTCATTTGTCTGGTGTCTTTGATTATATCAAACAGTGCCATCTTGGCTTGATAAGAACCTATCTGGCCAATGTTCTCCAAAAAATTGCATTGATTAGTATATATGTAAACTAAAACCCTCATGTATTTTGGATTTTTAAGTGGCCAATTAACATACTCACAATGTCCAATAAATGAAGTGCAAGAGTTGTAACAAACGAAAATTAGGCAGAATATAAAACAAACCTATTCACATGGATTCTGCAAATTTATACTTTTCAGGGTTTTTGTTTTTGAGGTTATAGTTACTCAGAATAACAAATTCTATTGATTCTCATTCAAAGTTTACAGATAAGAGATTCTTCACCCCTTGATATATCCTGGCCTTGAAACTATCCAGCAACATTAGACAATGAAGGTGAACAATCTACCCAGTTGACCTCGAGTATACAGGTTAAATAGTTATCTGATTATGTGAATTAGCCCAAAATGGCATTACATGACAAGCTCTATTGAATCAAATGTCAATGATTTTGTTTTAAATCAACTTAAAAGTCTCAAATGTCAAAATTGCCTGAAGATCATGGTGACTTATATCACTTAACAATAGGTCATTTGTACATGTAATTTACGGCTATTAGATCAACAGTTCATTAGTTAACACACACATAAGCCACAAGGGATTTTTTTGTCAGACAGATGATTAATTATATCATTTACCACAGACAGTAGCATCTCAGTAGAAGGAGGCATGGGTGCTAGTTACAGCAGAGTGAATAATGAATATACAGTATATACTGTAACTAGAAAAACAGCAACTCCACGGAGTAGCAAATCCCACCGAACAAAACATGTTTTGATAAATACTGGTATTTGAATTATCAGAATTATGTTTTTATGAATCATGGTTGCCATTTTGAAATTCAGCTGACATCTTTAAATTTCTTCCTTAGCAGAGCTCCTATGTCCCAAGGCATCAGCATATTCAATTTAATCCAAATCCGTCAACTGGTACTTGGGTTATCAAGGATAATGATTACATGTTTAATGAAAAATGGCGGAGATTTCGATAAATAGCAGCCACCTTGAAATTTTCTTCTCAAGCAGAATTCCTTTATCTCTTGGCATCAGAATATAAAATTTGAAGTAAATCCGTCCAATGGTATTTGAGTTATCAAAGACGAACTTTTTCTATGAAAAAAGCCAGCCATTTTGAAATTCAGCTGATGCCTTTGAAATTTCTTCTGAAGCAGATCTCCTTTTTCCCTAAATATCAGCATATAAAATTGGAACCAAATCCATCCACTTATTAATGATAACGTTTTTTTTACGAAAAATGGCGGCCATTTTGAAATTCAGTGGCCATCTTGAAAATATTTTCTTGAGTACAACTTCTTTGTCTCTAGGCATCAGCATATAAAATTTGAACTAAACCCATCAACTGGTATTTGAGTTATCAAAGGTTACGTTCTTTTATGAAAAATGGCGGCCATTTTGAAATTTAGCTGCCATCTTGAAAATTCTTTCTCGAGCAGAGCTCCTATGTCCCTAGGCATCAGCATGTAAAATTTGAACCAAATCCATTCTATGGTATTTGAGTTATCAAACATAACGTTTTTTCTAAAAAATGGCCGCCATTTTTAAATATGGCGGCCATCTTGAAAATGTCTTCTTGAGCAAGGCTCCTTTGTACTCAGGCAACAGCATATAAAATTTGAACCAAATCCATCCACTAGTATTTGAGTTATCAAAGATTATATTTTTTGGGAAAAATGGCTGCCATTTTGAATTTGGCAGCCATATTGAAAATTCCTTCTCGAGCAGAGGTCCTACACCCATAAGGCATAAGCCTATAAAATTTGAATGAAATCCGTCAACCGGTATTTGAGTTATTGCCCGGACACACGAACGGACGAACGGACGGACGGAAGAACGGACGGACGAACGGACGGACGAACGGACGGACGAACGGCTTTTCTATATCCCCCTCGAACTTCGTTCGGTGGGATAATAACAGAAGAACAGGCCAGCCATGTGTTCTACTAAATATGCCCTGAATGTGTTGAAACATTTCAAGATCTATGTTTATATAAGACTAACAAATTAAGACTGTCAGATTTACAGTTTCTCCCAATATATTCAGATAATAGCAAGAATAAGTCTTGCTGTATAGGACTCAGACCATTTCTTTTACAGTAAAACCTGTCTCAGTAGAACACCTTTGGTACCTCTAAAAAGTGTTCTTCTTGGGAGGTGTTCTACTTATAAAG